CTCGCGACTGTCTGGACAGTCCCACCGCCGATATTTGGAAAACCCGTCACACTTTTTGGTTGGGAATTCCTTATAGCGCCAGATCACTCCGCCACTTACGTAGACTTCTTGCTTTTCTACCCATTTAGGCGGCTGGCCACGGCCGTTCAACCACCACATCCGGGTTCCCCAAGGGCGTAATTTCGCGTCATAGGACGGACTTTGAAGATATTCCGGGAATTGGCACTCGCTCCAAATTCCTGCCGAAAAGACAGATAGAAAAAATAAAGATAAACCGGGTAAATTATTTATATATATATATATATATATATATATATATATATATATATATATATATATATACGTACATGCATACATTGGAACCTCGGTTCACGAATTTAATTCGTTCCTGAAGGCCGTTCGTAAACAGAAAACAATTTATAATAGGAATAAATGTACAGAAAAAAAGTCACAGTACAATAAAATTAAAAAAGAAAACCACGGCACAACACACGAATATATACAACATGGCGGTCAACACAGAAATAATTCTGTTCGGGTTAAATCGGTTCGGTAATGTTGTTCGAGAACCAAAATTTTGTTTGATAATCGAGGCATTTTCATCTCGAATTTTCTCTTCGAAAACCGATTTGTTCGACATGTGAGACGTTCAAGAGCTTGCATTGTATATAAAAAAAAATCTGGAAATTAATAATAATAACCAACACTTTTGTAAACAAGACCAAACATACGTATTAGCTGCTTTTTATGAGGACACATTTTAATTCATTGACAGAACAACCAGTGCGAGTTGAGTTATGCTTTTGCCAATACCTTCAACACCAGGCTGAGATCAAAGTGTAGTATCTGTTCTCTTCATCTATAATGGTAATGTTAATATTAGCTTTATCCTTATGAGGAAATATTCAGCATTCACTGGCCGAACAGCCAGTGCTATACGAGTTAGACTTTGCTTCATTCCATCGGTATTGGTCGGGATCAACGTGTAATATCTGTTTTCCTCATCACTAATGGTAATAGTAATATATGTCCTTTCCTTTTTAGGACACCTTAAACATTACTTGAGGAACATTTCCTTGCAATCGAGCTGGGATCAAAGTCTAGTTATCAGCACCTCTTATATATATATATATATATATATATATATATATATATATATATATAATCATTTCAATCAAGCACCTTTCAACCACCACATCCCTGTTCCCCAAGGGCGTAATTTCGTGTCATAGGACGGACTTTGAAGATATTCCGGGAAATGGCACTCGCTCCAAATTCCTGCCGAAAAGACAGATCGAAATAGTAACGATAAACCAGATAAATTTTCTTTATATATATATATATATATATATATATATATATATATATATATATATATATATATATGCCAATAAAGTTGCATATATAGTGCAGGTGTTAACGAAACAGTACTCAATGTCATGAAACAGAGCATATATATATATATATATATATATATATATTATTTCACACCTCTAGCATGACTCAAATAGACTGTTTTACGGTTTGAATCAAAATTCATCTGTCTATCATGTCGCTACTTAATATTACAAATTTTTAATAATGAACATTAAAAAGAGTAAAGTTGCAAAAATAAATGGGAGAAAACAAAGGCGAGAAGAAAATTATAATTATGAAAATTAAATTTTAAACTAATTATGATAAAATGGAAAAAAGAATATGGAAAAGAGAAAGGTAAAATGGTGGAGTAAAAATATAGGTCAACGGCGTGGGGATAAATAAATGACTAAGAAACAAAGTTAAGGGGAAAAAAAAAAAAGAGATATATAATATACTATTAGGTTGGTGCAAAAATAATGACGTAATAATGTCGTTTTGACGTTAAAAATACATCAAAAACGACATTATTACGTCATTATTTTGCACCAACCTAATAGAACGAGGTAGAAAGGGATAGAAAAGAATTAACAAAGGTTTAAGAGTTATTTTGGTTCAAGTTCTTTCGATTTTCGCAGTCATTATCCAAAACCGTTATGGTCCTTGTTTGGATGAATATTTGCTGCATATATATATATATATATATATATATATATATATATATATATATAATTATCTATTTAAAATATGATTCCAACTCGCGACATAAGAGGACTCATGTTTCAAAAACAAGAATCGCGAGTTAAAATCATATTTTTAAATAATTAATTATATTTATGCTCTACTTTTGTATCGAGCACTATTTTTAAAAAATAATAACTAAAATACTAAGAAACTTTGGATTATTTACCTAACCAGTTCTTTCCTATTTTCAATATATTTTCACATACATATATATGTAATTCACAATCTTGTTTGGATGAATATTTGTCGCATAAATAAATGTTAAATAATAAGGACACAAATCTATACAAACAAATGTCCACAAATCCTTCCTTTTTGTGTTATTAAGTTTTCAAGAGATTTTACGGTAAAAGACACTGTGTTGTCATGTAGACGAGGTTACATTTTGTTTCAACATTTTTGGTGTGGTCTCAGGTGATGGTGTTGAATGTAGAATAAACTCTTTATTCTTCATTCAACATCATCGCTTTAAAAGACAACAGAAGTATTAAGAGAAAATGGCTATTTTTGTAGTGATGTTATAACATGCTTATGTTATAATTTTTAAATAAATATTATTTGCTCTACTTTGTATTTAGCACATTTTTAGAAATAGTGTTTTTTTGGTTATCAGAATTTTATTCCATCTATTCCAACCCTGTACTCGTATATATATATATATATATATATATATATATATATATATATATATATATATAAATGGTAATTCCTGTGTAACGAAGAAACCATATTTTAAATCTGTTAATATATATATATATATATATATATATATATAAAATAACAGATTTAAAATATGGTTTTTCTTACACAGGAATTACCATATGTTAATTCCTGTGTAGCGAAGAAAAACCTTATTTTAAATCTGTTAATTTATATTTATGTTCGGTAAATTTACGTTGCACACAGTTTTGTAAAAATAAAAATATCAATAAGAACACCGGTTTATATATCTTGCTGTTCTTTCTTTTTATTATATATATATATATATATATATATATATATATATGTGTGTGTGTGTGTGTGTGTGTGTGTGTATGTATGTATTATGCAGTGTGTTACAGTAGAAAATGCACATACCCACTACAAAATTGTACATCTTGATTCAACGTTAAAGGAATTAAAGGTTGAAAAAAGGGGGAGGTAGGTGATATAAACTAAGAAGGGACAAATTCAACCTGAACTTAGAAACCTAAATCTGCATTGTTACCGTTAAATTTCGAATTCTATGATTCGACGGAATTCCATTGGTTGAATTTGTCCCTTCTTATGTTATCTCACCTCCCGCCTCCTTTTTTTTTTTAACATTTATTTACTTTTCTTGGCCTTTTTCCACTTCTTTCTCTTTTCTCTCTCTCCCTCCCTCTCTCTCTCTCTCTCTCTCCCTCCCTCTCTCTCTCTCTCTCTCTGTTACTAATCACATAGCTTCCTTTATTTCTCCACATGTAAATTCTTTTTTTACCTTTTATGGGAAACTTTCCAATGGCGGAAGTGAAAGATGTGCTTCGTTAACTGCATTCCAGAATAAAATATTTTAGTAGCATCGTGATTTCCCACCTGATGATAACTTAGAAAATCTTTTTTTAACGTTGAAACAAGATGTACAGTTTTGTAGTGGGTATGTACATGTTCTAATGTAACACTGCATAATAAATAAATATTTATTGCTCTACTTTTGTACTGAGCCCTGTTTTGAACACTGAAATCTTACTCTTCATTCCCTTACATTTGGATTTTATATATATATAAATATAAATATTTATTGCTCTACTTTTGTATTGAGTCCTGTTTTAAATTAATGTTTTGAACGCTAACATCTTATTCTTCGTTATTTTACATTTACACACACACACACACACACACACATATATATATATATATATATATATATATATATATATATGAAAGAATGTTAAAAAGCAAGAGAGCGTGAAAGAGAGAGAGAGAGAGAGAAATTAGCTCGTCAGTCTTATCTGTTGTATCCGAACGGAAGATGAATTATACACATTATCTCCAAAGGAATGACTGCGAATTGCGATTGATGTATTTATTCGAACTGGCCGGCAAGTCACAGCTCATCACTATTCAGTTCGACTGGTCAAAGGTTCAGCACATTTGTCTCCGAGTCGACACGTGTGCCAAGGGCTTGCATTTACATAATACTGTATGCATGTGTGTTCGTCGATAGGTACTTGCTTTGTCGTTCTAAACAAGAGGAATATAAATGCTAATAACACGTGAAATTCACTCATCTTCCGTCAGTGTATGTGAAATTTACAAAGTGGGAGAAATCTTTTCAGAGGCTAGGTTTCGTAAAGCGTTTACGAAAAGGAAACAAACCCAGAAAGCAAACCAGGTCATTCCAGAAAAGTACACTGCATTTAAGATATATTGTAGATAGTGTATACGTTAGTCTACCAATCAAATTAAAGGTTCTTTTCTGATTCTACCTATAATATTCCTTTTTTGCTTTTTGTAACTCAACTGGCGCATAGCTAGACGTCACGGGCTGTTTTCGATATTGGTAAGGTTCACTGAATCCTAATAGTCAACTCTGTTCTTCGTCTGGTACTTGGAAACCGTAGGCAGACGATCGCAGGCGCCATGTTGTTCAAAGAGGAATTACGAAGGGCGATAAAAAAAAAGCGAGACCAGCCGCTGACGGACATAAAACAACGCAGCGAAAATGGGGTATTGTTGTTATATTCGGGCAGTAGCTGCCCTGATCTGGCTTTCCAGTCTTGATAGAGTTCCAAACCGTCTCTGTGTCCTTGTGGGAGAATAATTATTTTCCACTTTCCTATCTCTCTCTCTCACAGGCGGGGATATGACGAGTCTCTTACTGCTCTATGGCTACTAATATGGAAAGTGTTCCGACGAAATGCACTTACTGGTTGCACCAG